AAAATGTGGCATTTATACACAATGGAGTATTACTCTGCATTAAAAAATGACAAAATCATAGAATTTGGAGGGAAATGGATGGCATTAGAGAAGATTATGCTAAGTGAAGCTAGCCAATCCCTAAAAAGCAGGGTGTATCTTTAATAAGATATCATATTAGTATTATAAAAGATAGAGGATAAGACAAGACTATAGCAAGAGTTTACACATGGAAACAAAGATCTCTAAGCAAGGACTACTATCTCATGATTATTGTTGGATTTTTTTAATTGAGTCTTTTCACACAAAGCCTAAAGACATCTGGTAAAAAATATTTCAGACAGAACCCACTGAGACATTGTCCTTCTGTTTTGTGGAAAAGATGTAAAGGAGGTGTCAAATTAGCATGCTTAATTTCTTACAAATAGGATTGCCATTTTCAAAAATCTTATGTCTTGTCTAGTGGAACGGGATGCTGCATAACAAAGTTGACAAAGTTCAGGAAAAAATATTCAAGGCACTAGGATAATGAACAGGAGACTGCCATGAAGAACTTTCAGAAAAGAAAATTTCTTAGAAATCTGGAAAGCTCAAGGCAGAAGAAAGAATTGTATTTATCCTATCACCTGTTCGTTGTGATGCTGCTATTCCTGGCCTGCGTGGTTTAACAGTTGGTCCCTGATTCTCCCCAGGAGTTAAAAACTGAACTGTGTTTGAATTTTATGGAACATCATCCCTGAAGAGAAAGTCCAATATTGGGTGTCATGTACCAGGTACTGACCCAAGACTGTTCTGTAAACTACTGTATTTGGCTGTTGAATTGTTCACTGTGCAACATATAATTTTTTTTAGAGAGAGAGAGAGAGAGAGAGAGAATTTTTAATATTTAGTTTTTTCTTTAGTTCTCGGCGGACACAACATCTTTGTTGGTATGTGGTGCTGAGGATCGAACCCAGGGTGCACGCATGCCAGGCAAGTGCGCTACCGCTTGAGCCACATCCCCAGCCTGCAACATATAATTCATGAGATTTATCTTCATTACCCAATGGCATTGGTTGCTCACCTGTGAGGGTAAGAGGATTTAGACTGAAGGACTTCCAACACAGTAGCTTCCCTGTGCTGATGAGGCCTATTTTTTTATCTGCTAATTGCTAGCCCTGAGATTGGAAAGGACCTCATTCATGACTGGGCCTAGGGGATAAAATCTTTGCCAGCTAATCCTCTGATAGGGGATTAATATCCAAAAATATATAAAGACACCATAAAACTCAGTGTCAAAAATCCCTCAAATAACCCAATCAATAAATGGGCAAGGAACTAAACTAAAACTTCTCAAAAGCAGAAATACAAATTAGCAAGAAATATATTTTATTTATTTTTTTATTAGTTGCTCATGACAATACAATGATCTTGACATAGTCAACATCTCTAGCACTTGGAAAAATGCTAATCAGTACTACACTAAGATTTCATCTCACTCTAGTCAGAATGGCCATTATCAAGAATACAAATAATAATAAATTCTGGTGAGGGTGTGGAGAAAAATGCATACTCTTACATTGTTGGTGTGCCCT